GGTCACGAAATTTGACGTAGGGCTTAGCAGCTCCCTTCTTGACTGATGTAAACAAGGCATGAGATGAATTTGTATCAGGTATCCAACAGGTAGCACGCAACACCAGAGTCTTAACTTGTTGAAGGCATTGCCTGTGCATCTGTGCCTGGGCCTGAAGTGTTGCCCGGACCCCCTCCCCCATGAGTTCCTCCATGCCAGTATGATTTCAGTTATTCAAGTTATTCATAGCCTGGATGGTAGCCTGTTCTCAGTATTCAGTCATAAACATGGTGTATTGCATGGAGACAGGATCGTTTGTAACAACATTTTCCATCGTGAGTGGTCACAACATAACTGTCACTGATTGCAAGCAAAAGATAACAGATTAAGGCACTGAATTCCATAATCTCTCACTGACTTCCTTAGCTCCTTTACCGCCTCATAAGGCAGGGATTCCCACTGTGGGAGCTGATTTCCACGAGACACCACAGGAAAGGCAATGTATCAGCATCACCCTGTGATGTGGCTGCTTTTCTGCACTGCTCTAAAGCACCGTAGTATGCTGTAGAAAAATTTTTCTTTCCCGCTCCCTTCCATGTGTCATCAGGAGGGAAAATGTTCGGTTCGTTTTCCGGATCTACTGGACCAGAGTAAAGTACTGGGAGGGAGAGCGATGGGGAATAGTCAGAAGAAGTTCTTCCATGTCGAATTTGCTTACGCCTTTCCATTATTTGCCCTCAAACAGCTAGAAGCTTAGCAGCCTTTCTGTCTTATAGAAGCCTCCTAGAGTTCTGTGTTAATTTTGTCCCAAAGCTCCCCATTAAGAGAGAACCCAACTTTCGGAAATTCAGGGACATTTTTGCTCCTCCATTTAAGAAATGCAGCTAATGCTACTCTCCGTAGTTCAGTCGGGCAGCGCTGCCTGACCAGGGATACGTAAGGGGTGTGAGAACCTGTAATAGATGTGGTTTGCATCGTTCGCCTCCGCCCGTGCCTCAGACGCAGCAAATGGCGCGCACCGTGCGGAGCGCAGCAAGCCGAGGTTGCGCCGCCCCACCGAACGACGTTGTGCAGGACAGGAGGTGAGCAGATGGGAACGACGGGGAGCTCACTGACGAAGGAGCAACAGGTAAATCTACGGAGAATTTCAGTTTCAGAATTAGCCTGTATCTACCTCAGCACTAGCTGCTTTTCTGAAATGGACAAGCAGAACTGTCCCGGAGTTTCCGATGACTGGGTTTTCTTTCGATGGAGAGCGTCGGGACAAAACTGGCGCAAAGCTCTGGGAGGCTTCTACTACTGCAGACAAAACGGCCGCTAAACTTTTACCTGTTTTTACGATGTTTGGCGCCAAACATCGGAAGCGCTCAAACAAATCCGACGAGGAAGGACAAATCCTTCCCGCTGTTCCCCATCGCCTTTCCCCCATCCCAGCCGCTGGCCCTCAGCCCGCGTCGCAGCTCCTGCCCGGACCCGATCTGCTGCTTCCACCCCTCTCCCCCCTCCCCAGGAGAAGGAAAATCGCGACCCGCTGCCGCCCACCGCCCCCTTCCCGTCTCTCGCCGCGCCGCTCCCGCCCTCCGCCCCGCCGCCGCCGCCGCCGCCACCAAGAGCCGTGACGCCCTCGCCTCCCGCACTGCCCCGTCGCTCGCCGTAACGCTGCCGCCCTCCGCCCCCCCCCCACGCCGCTTGCCGCTCCGCCTCTGCCGCCCGTGTGTAATTCGGTTGCAGACGAGGGTGGTCCGGAACGGGACGATCTTTTTGATCCTGGTCCAGCAGATCCGGAGGAAGAACCGAACTCTTTCCCTCCCGAGGATAATTTGAAGGAGACAGGAAGGAAAAATGTGGTTGCTTCTACAGCGTACTGCGGTGCTTTAGAGCAGTGTAGAAAAGAAGCAATGTCGCACGGCGATGCTGATATGTCACAAGCCTTTCCTGTGGTGTATCATGGAAATCAGCTTCCCGGCAGGAATCCCTGCCTTATGAGGCGGTAAAGGAGCTTAGGAAGTCAGTGAGAGATTATGGAATTCAGTCTGCCTTCACATATAATCTTTTGCTTGCAATCAGTGACAGTTATGTTATGACCCCTCACGACTGGAAAATGTTGCCATGAACAATCCTGTCTCCCATGCAGTACACTGTATTTATGACTGAATACTGAGAACAGAATACCATCCAGGCTATGAACAATTTGAATAACTTAAATCATGCTGGCATGGAGGAACTCCCAGAGGAGCGGGTCCGGGCAACACTTCAGGCCCAGGCGCAGATGCACAGGCAATGCCTTCAACAAGTTAAGACTGGTGTTGCATGCTACCCGTCGGATACCTGATACAAATTCATCTCATGCCTCGTTTACATCAGTCAAGAAGGGAGCTGCTAAGCCCTACATCAACTTTCGTGACCGTTTATAAAATATGCTAGAGAGACAGGTGGAAAGTCAAGCCGCCCGGGATGTTTTGCTTAAATCCCTGTTGCTGCACAGCCCTACAGTCTGCCGAGAAACGGGAAGAAGAGTACAAGACCACATGCTCTGACAACAAATACAGTCCAAAATCGGTTGGCCAGTGCCTGGCCAGCTCACTCAGACCAGTCACCACCGGCAGCAAGACACTTCAAGAAGTGGTTCTCTGGCATGGGACTGCTACATGATGGCAGTCAGACGTACATGTTGCAGATGGATCACCTCAAACTGTAGAACTCACTGTGGTAGCTAAAGATTTTCAAATTTATGTAGTACTTCAACAATGTATAACTGACTCTTTGTACGTTGCAGGTATCATTGAGCAGACTGAAGGATCTTTTCTTAAGTAAGTTAACAACCCTGCTTTGTTTGCACAGCTCAAGCAAATTTTACCTTATGTCTCTCACCGTACTTTCTTATTTTATCACACATATTTGGACACACACTGTGCTGCCTATAACTGAGGGCAACCGTAAAGCTGATCAAGCCGAAGTAGCTTTTGCTACCCCTCAATTATTTCAGCAAGTGCAACTCTCCCATCAGTTTTTCCGTCAGCACTGGAGAGCCAAACAAACAATTCCAACTGACAGTGGCTCAAGCCCATAAACACTGGTTGTCTGCTTATGCTGCTGTCGGCATCCCACATACTATAAAAACGGATAATGGACCTGCTTATACTTTTAAGGCCATCTGAACAAGAAAACTTGTGAAGGAACGTATATAAGTGATGTGAGAACTCGTAATAAAGGATTTGGATCATTCACATCTGAGTCAGTGCATCAGACGCTGCAGGCAGCCAGCTTTTCCATGGGAATATTGTTGGGGACAGTGTCAAAGGCTTTACTGAAGTCCGGGTAGACTACATCAACAACATTACCTTCATCCGCTAAGCAGGTCATCTTGTCATAGAATGAAATCAGGTTTGTCAACCAGGATCTGCCATACCAAGATTTGTTATGGAACTTGCTTTCTTTCTAGCCAATGGATTGTTAGTCGAAATGTACTGAATACTCGTGTTAGAATATAATAAGCTTGCTTAGGAAAACAAAGGAGAGAGTCTTCCTTGCACAAGAACCCTGTGTCGTGTTATTGACTTGTGACAATTGGTGCCAGAACAGGGATGTGAACAGACACTTGTCCTGACTTGAAGACTGACGGGTCCGGAGTGCATTGAGAGAAATGTGGCAGACGTTGAGACAAACACGAAGAGCTTGATGCATTGCGACAAATGCGGCAGCCGAAGGATTCAACATCCTGGCATGGTTTTGTGTTTTTTTGGTTTTCAGTATTCCACATCATAACATCATGTAGTGCACTGGGAGTTAAAGTGTTAATGCTCAAATTCCAGGTGCCTATACCTATACTTCATGGAAGTCATGGGATTTGGCCCTTCTCGGTAGAGCGGTCTCTTACTGCCTTGCAGTGGGTGCTGGAGAGTGCTTTCCTAGCTGTTCCAGGCTTTTCAGGTTTGACTCGGTCTTGGGAATCTCTCTCTCCTATTTTATTTGATTTATTAGCCTCAATTTCAATTAGATTGTGTAATATTGTGTTATCTTGCATTCTGATACCATAGTTAGTAAAATAAGTTTTCCTCCATAGATCATTGCTGCTGGCTTTTTTTTTCCTTCCTTGAGCTGAGCTTCCATCTCCCTATCACTTTTCCCGTTCCCTTCCATTTTGTAGGGGCAGGCAGGGCCCAGAGGCCTACTGCCCCCCTGTCATGGGCACAGACTAATCTAGTTAACTGACACATCCCTAACCGCTCCAATTGCCTCTTAATGGACAAAGTTAAGGGTGTGCACTATGGGGAACAAAATGACCTCAGAACAGAAAAACATTCTAGTTACTTTTCAATCTATCCTTAAATAACAGGGGGCGTCAGTATCCTCCCTTGATCTACAGCGAATGCTTGCATGGTGTCATGGTTTTATGTTTTTTGGTTTTCAGTATTCCACATTATCACTCATGTAGTGCACTGGGAGTGAAAGTGTTAATGCTCCAATTCCACATACCTGTCCCTATACATTACAGAAAACAAAAAAAACATACAACCATGACATTCCACCCCTTATTCTACATCCCTACATCATGCTTAATATGTATACATACATACAAGCAGTGATTAAAATGTGTTACACACACATGTCTATATACACACATATATATACATAGCATTACTGACTGCACTCCCCCAGCATCAAGTTTACTTGCGGTACACGTTCAACATCCCCGTTTGTCTGCAGCCCGCCAGATCTCGCGAGAGCGGCTGACGCAGCGCGTGGGCGTTGCCTGGGTAACGGCGAGAGATTTGAACGGGCACCAAAGCTGGAAGAAGCCCTTTGATCGCCGATCTCAGCTGCCTTGGAGCCGTCCCGGACGGACCGGCAGCGACCGACCGCGGGCTTCAAGGGGATTTCGGACGATTCCTTCACTCAGGGAACTCCGGAGCCAACGAAGCAGCCCGGCAGCTCTCGGCCGGCAGCTCTCGCGAGAGCGGCTGGCGCAGCGCGTGCGCGTTGCCTTGGTAACGGCGCTGCATTCACGCCCCCCCCCGATCCTTGAAAAAGCCTCGAGGAGGGCAGGAGCACGCCGCTGCCCGCCGGAGACAAACAGGAAGGGTCGGGTCTGTGAATCGCGTGAGTACCTGTACAGTGCTGGTAAGTATTCTGGTTAGCCGTGGCTGTGCCCTGGCGGAAGGCTGCAGCCAGACATATTGAGGTGACCCAGATAGAGCTCCCATGCTCTCACAGAAGGAAAGCGGCAGCCAAGAAGTCTGTGGAGACCCAGACTGAGGCCGTGTACATGTATGAAAGGAAGGCTGCTGCCGAAAACAATGAAGGTACTCAGGCCGACATTGCAAACCAAGATGCTGGTGTGCAGTCCTCTGGCTGTAGTGAGTGCCAGAGCCTGGAACTACAGGCCTTTGCAGTGCTAGATGAGAGAGGCAGCGACTGTGTACGATGTGACCAGGTAAACTACTTAATCAGCCTTGTGGCCAACCTGCAGAATGAGGTGGAGAGACTGAGGAGCATTAAAGAATGTGAGAGGGAGATTGATTGCTGTTAGCCTCTAGATCTCAGCAGCCAGGTGAGGCTCTGCATGAAGTAAGTCACCCCCTGCCGCCTTGCAAACAGGTGACAGAGGGGAACCTACATGCAGAGTTCTTGCTGTAGTGAACCCACTATCCTCTCCCCCCCAGGAACAATGGCAAAGAATTGGGGGATGTAAGGCAATAGCATAAGGCCCCTGCTCAGTGACGCAAGCGCGCCATCCCAGTGAGTCCCTAGCCCCCCCAGCTGCCCCTGCGAAACAGGTTCAGTACTCTGCAGGGTCAGCTGGACAATGGTGGTAATGATGGCTCTCCCCAGTTGGTGGTGCTCCCCAAGTCTGACCAGTCTTTGCCTAGCATTAAAACTTCATCGACTAGGAAAAAATGACAGGTCATTGTTATTGGTGACTCTCTGCTGAAGGGAGCAGAAGGAAGAATATGTAGACCAAACCCTCTACACAGGGAGGTCTGCTGCCTCCCGGGAGCCCGGGTTAAGGATATGAGGAAGAAACTTCCTTTCCTAGTCTGGCCCACTGATTACTATCCCTTGCTGTTGTTTCAGGTTGGTGGCGATGATTTGGGCAGAACTTCCCTAAGGACTGAAAAAGGATTTCAGATCCTTGGGGAGACAGGTAAAGGATTCAGGAGCACAAGTTGTATTCTCCTCTATCCCTCCAGGGAATAATGAGGGACTCAATATAATGGGCCAATGGATTAATAACTGTCTCAGAGCTTGGTGTGCCTGGTAGGGGTTTGGGTTTTTGACCTCAGCTCTGTTTACATGAGACTGGGCCGGCTAGCGGCTGATAGGAGTGGCTTCTCCCACCAGGTACGAAGCGGGGTGGGGATGTAACTGGGGTCACTAATACGGAGCCTGAATGTAACATCCCTGTGCTTGCAGGAGAGGGATGTGCTTGTAAGACCCCATTGTCTTGTGCCTTGGTGGAAGAGGAGAATGACTCACCCCTTTGTAGGAAGAACACGAGGGCAGGTGGCTGTGGAAACACCTGAGTGTGGTCATGAGGGTACTAGGGTTATTGCCACTCGCAAGGAGACCAAGCTCAGGTGTCTTTATACTAATGCACGCAGCATGGGTAATAAACAAGAGGAGCTGGAAGCCATTGTGTGTTCAGAAAGTTATTATATAGTTGCCATCATGGAAATGTGGTGGAATGACTCCCACAGCTGGAGTGCAGTGATGGAGAGCTACCGGTTTTTCAAAAGAGACAGGCCAGGTAGGAAATGCAGTGGTGTAGCTCTATATGTTAAAAAAAAAAAAAAAAAAAAAAACTATGAATGTGTGGAAATTAATAATGTTGACTATAGGGTTGAGAACATATGGATCAGAATAAAAGCAAAGGCCAACAAGACTGATGTTATTGTGGGAGTCTGCTACAGGCCACCCATCCAGGATGAAGAGGTGGACAAGATGCTTTATAAACAGTTGGGTGAGGTCTCTAGGTCACTTCCCCCTTGTTCTGGTGGGGGACTTCAACTTCCCAGACATCTGCTGGAATTATAATAGAGCTGACAGAGAACAGTCCTGGAGGTTCCTAAAGTGTGCGGGAGATAACTTCCTGACACAGCCAGTGAGGGAGCTGATGAGGGGAAGGAATATCCTGGACCTGCTGTTTGTTAAAGGAAAAGGTCTGGTGGGGGATGTAAAGATTGGAGGCCGTCTGGGGCATAGTGATCATGAGATACTAGACTTCTCTATTCTTGTTGAACCACAGAGGGGAGTCAGCAGAACTGCCACCTTGGACTTCCGAGGGCGGGCTTCAAACTCTTCAGGACCATGGTTGAGAGGGTCCCTTGGGTAGCTTTGGAGAGCATGGGAGCCCAGGAAGGCTGGGAATATTTTAAGGAAATTGTTTTAAAGGTACAAGACCTTTAAAACAGGTTTTAAAGGTACCTGACCATCCCCGTGTCACAGAAGATGAGCCGACGGGCAAGGAGGCCGGGCTGGCTGAACAGAGACATTTGGCTGGAACTCAAGAACAAAAGGGAAGTTTACGGTCTCTGGAAGAGTGGACAAGCTGTTTATGAGGATTACAGGTATGTAGCGAAGCTGTGCAGGGAGAAAATTAGAAAAGCCAAAGGGCAGTTAGAACTGAGCTTGGCCGCTAAGGTAAAGGAAAACAGTAAATGCTTTTATAAACACAATAATAGCAAAAGGAAGGCTAGGGAGGATCTCCATCCCTTGCTGGATGTTGAGGGCAACCTGGTCACCAAGGGTAGGGATAAAGCTGAGGTACTTAATGCCTTCTTTGCCTCAGTCTCTAATAGTAAGACTTGTTATTCCCTGGGAACACAGCCCCCTGTGCTGGTAGACAGGGATGGGGAACAGAATAAGCCCTTCGTGATTCATGATGATATAGTTTTGGACCTACTGCAAAAGCTGGATGCTTACAAGTCCATGGGACCAGATGGATTGCACCCTAGAGTGCTGAAGGAGTTGGCAGATGTGATTGCCAAGCCACTGTCCATCATTTTTTGGCAGTCCTGGCTAACCAGGGATGTCCCGGTGGATTTGAAGCTGGCAAATGTGACGCCCATCTTCAAAAAGGGCCGGAAAGATAATCCTGGTAGCTACAGGCCTATCCGTCTCACCTCGGTGCCTGGGAAGGTTATGGAATGAATAATCTTGGGAATCATCATGGACCAATTAAATGTCAACCAGGGGATCAGGCCCAGTCAGCATGGGTTTACAAATTGTAGATCCTGTCTGACAAACCTGATTTCATTCTATGACAAGGTGACCTGCTTAGTGGATGAGATTCAGGCTGTTGATGTGGTCTACTTGGACTTCAGTAAGGCCTTTGACACTTCCCCTGTAACATTCTCCTGGAAAAGCTGGCTGCCCACAGTCTGAATGGGTGTATGCTCCGCTGGGTGAAGCAGTGGCTGGATGGCTGGGCCCAAAGAGTGGTGGTCAATGGAGTTGGATCTAGTTGGCATCCAGTCACAAGCGGTGTCCCCCAAGGCTCAGTACTGGGGCTGCTTCTGTTTAACATCTTTATTGATGATCTTGAAGAGGGGATTGAGCGCGCCCTTAGTAAGTTTGCCGATGACACCAAGCTGGGAGGGAGTGTTGATCTGCCAGAGGGGAGAAGGGCATTGCAGAGGGACCTGGACAGACTGGACCGATGGGCCAAGCTTAACAGCATAAGTGTCAATAGGACCAAGTGTTGGGTCCTGCATTTTGGTCTCAACAACCCCAGGCAACCCTATAGACTTGGGGAGGTGTGGCTGGAAAGCTGCCTGATGGAAAGGAACCTTGGTGTTCTGATGGACAATCGGCTGAACAGGCCAGCAGTGTGCCCTGGTGGGCAAGAGGGCCGGTGGCATCCTGGCTTGTATCAGGAATGGTGTGGTGAACAGGACTAGGGAAGTCATCCTGCCCCTGAACTCGGCATTAGCGAGGCCTCACCTCGAGTACTGTGTTCAGTTTTGGGCACCTCAGTACAGAAGGGACGTGGAGGTACTGGAGTGGGTCCAGAGAAGGGCAACGAGACTAGTAAAGGGCTTGGAAAATCAGCCCTATGAGGAGAGGCTGAGGGAGCTGGGGCTGTTTGGTCTGGGGAAGAGGTAGCTGAGGGGAGACGTTATTACTTTCTTCCAGTACCTGAAAAGTGCTTACAGTGAGAGCAGGGTAGGTCTCTTTTCACTGGTGACAGGTGACAATATGAGGGGAAATGGCTTCAAGTTGTGCCAAGGTAAGTTTAGGTTGGATGTTAGGAAACACTTCTTTACAGAAAGGGTGGTTAAACATTGGAGTAGGCTCCCCAGGGAGGTGGTTGAGTCACCATCTCTGGATGTGTTTAAGAGCCGTTTGGATGTGGTGTTCGGAGATAAGATTTAGCAGAGGGTTGTTAGAGTTAGGGTACTATGGTTAGGCTGCGGTTCGACTTGATGATCCTTGAGGTCCCTTCCAACCTGAGTAATTCTATGATTCTAAGTGGACCCTGGTCCCAGGGCAAAAACAGTAACACGGAGAGGTTTGCCCTTTCCAGAAGCTGGAAGAACTCAAACTGCCTTTCCCAACATGCCCTTTACATGTACTACAGGGACTTTATCTCTCTCTATGGTACGCAGGGAGTTGGATTGGGTAGGACCATCATGATTGATAAATTCTCTGGTATTGACTAACCAGGTGGCTTCTGCCAAATGCTTCTCCCAGTGCTTAAATGTTCCACCACCCATTGTTTTCAGCATAGTTTTTAACAAGCCATAGTATTGTTTGATTTTACCAGAGGCTGGTGCATGATAGGGAATATGATAAATCCACTCAATGCCATCATCTTTGGCCCAAGTATTTACAAGAGAATTTTTGAAATGAGTCCCATTATCTGACTCAATTCTTTCTGGGGTGCCATGTCGCCACAGGACTTGTTTCTTGAGACCCAGTATGGTGTTTCGGGTGGTACCGTGGAGTACTGCGTATGTTTCAAGCCACCCAGTGGTTGCCTCCACCATGGTAAGCAAATAACATTTACCACTGCAAGATCGTGGCAAGGTGATATAATCAACCTGCCATGCCTCCCCATATTTATACTTTTGCCATCGCCCTTCCTCCCAGAGAGGTTTCATCCTCTTGGCTTGATTATGGCACGTTTCACAGTTATGAATAACCTGTGCAATGGCATCCATAGTTAAGTCCACCCCTCAGTCTCTAGCCCATTTGTATGTTGCATCTCTCCCTTGATGACCTGAGGTCTCATGGGCCCATCGAGCTAGAAATAATTCACCCTTGTTCTACCAGTCCAAGTCTATTTGAGCCACCTCAATTTTGGCAGTTCGGTCTACCAGATTGTTATTTTGCTGTTCTTCCGTATTACAGAATCGCAGAACGGCCAGGGTTGGAAGGGACCTCAAGGATCATGAATCTCCAACCCCCCTGCCACATGCAGGGCCATTCAATGCTAGACCAGGCTGCCCAGGGCCCCATCCAATCTGGCCTTGAACACCTCCAGGGACAGGGTGTCCACAGCCTCTCTGGGCAGCCTGTTCCAGTGCCTCGCCATTCTCTTAGTAAAGAATTTCCCCCTGACATCCAGCCTAAATCTCCCCCTCCCTCAAATTAAAACCATTTCCCCTCATCTTGCAGTTAACAACCCTTTTGAAGAGTTGATTCCCCTCCTGTTTGTAGGTTCCCTTTAGGTACTGAAAGGCTGCAATGAGGTCAGCCCACAGCCTTCATTTCTCCAGGCTGAACAAGCCCAGCTCCTCAGCCTGTCTTCATAGGGGAGGTGCTCCAGTCCCCTGATCATCTTTGAGGCCCTCCTCTGGACCCTCCCCAACAGCTCTCTGACTTTCTTCTACTGGGGACTCCACACTCGGACGCAGTATTCCAGGTGGGGCCTCACAAGAGCAGAGTAGAGGGGGACAATCACCTCCCTGTCCCTGTTGGCCACCCCTCTTCTGATGGAGCCCAGGATATCATTTGCCTTCCAAGCCGCAAGGGCACGCTGCTGGCTCATGTTAAGCTTTTCATCTATCAAGACCCCCAAGTCCTTCTCCACATGGCTGCTCTCAAGAACTGCTCCTTCCAGTTTGTATGGATGCCTGGGATTCCTCCGGCCCAAATGCAAAACTGCAATTTGCTGTGTTGAACCTCATCAGACCACTTTTCTAGCCTCTCGAGGTCTCTCTGAATGGAATCTCCTCTTTCCGCTATGTCAAAAGCACCACTCAGCTTGCTGTCATCAGCAAACTTGCTGCAGGTGCACTCAATTTCCTCATCGATGTCATTGATAATGATGTTAAAGGGCACCAGTTCCAAGACAGACCCACTGGGGGACACTGATTTGCCCTTCCGATTACTACCTATTATTAATAGTTCAAGCTGGCAGTGAAGAAGTTGCTGAGAAGTCTCAGGACTATTAAGAAAGACTTCAGGGGACCAGGGCGGGTAGTCGAGGGAGCAGGGGTGCAGGTGGTGTTTTCTTCCATACCTTCAGTGGCAGGGCAGGATACTGAGAGCTACCAAAAAACTCACCTCATAAATAATTGGCTTAAAAGTCATTGCAAATACAGGATTTTTTATTTTTTTTTTTTGACCACGGGGCAATGTACTTGGTACCTGGCATGATGGCAGCAAATGGAAATAGCCTGTCTCTGAGGGATAGGAGGATTTTAGCTGAGGAACTAGCAGGACTCGCTGACAGGTCTTTAAACTAGATATGAAGGGTGAAGGGGGCAAAATCATAGCCGCTGGGGTTGAGCGGGTTGTTTGACGGCTTGTGCCAAAATTGATCGGTGATGACGGTAAAGTACAAAGGGATGGACTGGGGCAGGGGGATGTTGGGGATACTGCTGTTCTAAGGGAACTTAGATCCTCTATAAAGGTGGTGAGATGGAAAACCCAGCTGAAGTGCCTTTATACCAATGCATGCAGCCTGGGAAATAAGCAGGACGAGTTGGAAACCATGATGTGCTTAGAAAGTTATGACCTTGTTGCCATCACGGAAACATGGTGGGATGACTCCCATAACTGGAATACCACCATTGAGGGCTATCTGCTCATTAGAAGAGATAGGCGAGATAGGAAGGGTGGGGCAGTTGCCCTCTATGTCAAAGAGTAGATAGACTGTGAGGAGCTCCCTCTGAGAAACAGTCAGGAACAGGTTGAGGGCCTGTGGGTTAGAATTAGGGATAGGTTTAACAAAGGCCAGCTGGTGATAGGGGTATACTACAGGCCACCTGATCAAGGGGGGACTGTTGATGAGACTTTCTTCCTTCAGATGAGGGAGGCTTTGTGCTCATGGGCTCTTGTCCTGATGGGGGACTTCAACCCTCTGTATATCTGTTGGAAAGACCACACGGCAAGTAGCAAGAGGTCTAGGAGGCTCCTGGAATGTGTTGATGATAACTTTCTGCTCCAACTGTTGGACAGACTGACCGAGGTGAAGTGTTGCTGGACCTGCTGCTCACCAGTGTGGAGGAGTGCATTAAAGACGTTAATGTTGGAGGCAGCCTGGGCTGCAGTGACCATGCCCTGGTCGAGTTCGTGATTTCGAGGGATGTGGGGCTGATGAAGAGTGGTATCAGGGCCCTGAATTTTCAAAGTGAACTTTAAGCTGTTTAATGGACTGTTGGCCAACATCCCCTGGGATGCTGTCTTCAAAAACAAAGATGTTGAGGAAAGCTGGCTGTTTTTCAAGAATGCCTTCCTGAGAGCATAAGAACTTTCTGTCCCTCTGAATAAGAAAGTGGGCAAAGGAGGTATGAAGCTGGTGTGGCTTGGCAAGGACCTGCTGAGTGTGCTGAGGGCAAAGAAAGGTGCGTACAAGCTCTGGAAACAAGGGTGTGTCACCTGGGAAGAATACAGGGATGCCGTCCGGACTTGCAGACGTGGGATCAGCAATGCCAAGGCGCAGGCGGAACTGAACTTGGCGAGGGATGTGAAAAACAATAGGAAGACATTCTACAGGTACATTGGCCAGAAGAGACAGGCCAAAGTGAGTGTACCTCCTTTGGTAAATGTAAAAGGAGAACGTGCTTCAATGGATGAAGACAAGGCTGAGGTACTGAATGAGTTCTTTGCCTCAGTCTTCACTGGGGGGCCAGGATTCCAGTACTTCTCACATCCCTGAGCCCTGCATCTCTAAACCTCTAGGTGGGGACTGGGGCGGTAAATCTCCCCCCCACTGTGAGGGCAGAGCAAGTCTGAGACCGCCTCATGAGACTGAATGTGTACAAATCTATGGGGCCAGATGGTGTGCATCCCAGGGTTCTGAAAGAGCTGGCTGAGGTGGTTGCTGAGCCCCTCTCCATCATATTTGAAAAGTCATGGCTGTCAGGTGAGGTCCCGGATGACTGGAGGAAGGGTCACGTCACTCCCATTTACAAGAAAGGGAACAAGGAGGACCCTGGGAACTACAGGCCGGTGAGTCTCACATCTGTGCCTGGGAAGATCATGGAACAGATCCTCCTGGACGACATGCTTGATCACATGAGGAATGAGCATGTGATCTGAGACAGCCAGAACAGCTTCACCAGGGGAAGGTCATGCTTGACCAATCTGGTGGCCTTCTATGATGGAGTGAGGGCATCAGTGGACAAGGGAAAGGTGACCGATGTCACCTTTAGCTGGACTTGAGCAAGGTCTTTGACATGGTCACCCACCACATCCTTATCTTCAAATTGGAGGGATGTGGATTTGATGGACGGACCACTTGATGGATAAGAAACTGGTAGAAAGGCCGCAGACGGAGGGTAGTCATCAATGGCTCTATGTCCAGTGGAGGCTGGTAATGAGCGGCATCCACCATGGGTCTGTCTTGGGACCGGTGCCCTTTAACAGCTTTATCAGTGACATCGATGAGGAAATTGAGTGCACCTGCAGCAAGTTTGCTGATGACAGCAAGCTGAGTGGTGCTTTTGACGTTGCGGAAGGAGGAGATGCCATTCAGAGGGACCTTGAGAGGCTGGAAAAGTGGGCCCGAGTGAATCTGATGAGGTTCAACACAACAAAGTGCAGAGTTTTGCATTTGGGCCAGAGGAATCCCAGGCATCCATACAAACTGGAAGGAGCAGTCCTTGAGAGCAGCCATGTGAAGAAGGACCTGGGGGTCTTGATAGATGAAAAGCTTAACATGAGCCAGCAATGTGCCCTTGCGGCTTGGAAGGCAAATGATATCCTGGGCTCCATCAAAAGAGGGGTGGCCAACAGGGACAGGGAGGTGATTGTCCCCCCTCTACTCTGCTCTTGTGAGGCCCCACCTGGAATACTGCGTCCGAGTGTGGAGCCCTGTCATGGTTTTATGATTTTTGGTCATCAGTATTCCACACCATAACATCATGTAATGCACTGGGGGTGGGGTTTGATATTTGCCGAATGTTCGTCCGACTGAGAAGAACTACATTTCCCCAGGAGGCTTTGTGGTCAGCAAGGAGATATAAGTCCATGCAAGGTCACCTGATTCCTCTTCTTCGCCTGCTCTTCGTCGTCTGCGCTTCGCCATCTGCACTTCACCGTCTGTTCTTCAGTCACTCAACTGGACTGCACTTCTCACCCCAGCATTGTGGTGAGGTCTATACAATTCAAGACAGACTCTTTCTCTCTCTCATTGTATTTTAGTAATACTATATTTAGTAAAATAATTTGTTCCACCTCAGATCAGTGCTGTTGTTTTCAAGTATTTTGAGGTCCCCTGTTTCCCCTTTCCCAGAGGCGCGGATCCTGCTGGTCACGGAACTGGGCCGGACCAGCCCATAAACCGTTAACATTTTTGGTGGAGAATGCGGGCAACAATTGCTTTCTAGCTGTTTAGACTCTCTGCTCTCAGAGAGCTTCATTGGGAAAGCTTATCTGTTTCACCGCTACTCTCTGAGAACGTGACCTTGAAAACTCCAGGCGGACTGCCAATAACTTAGGATATCTGTAAACTCTGAGCTTTACTATCTTGCCTTTGTAAAAAAAAAAAAAAAAAAAAAAAAAAAGCTTTCTGTCTTTCTGTTGTGAAACTGACTCAAAGGGCTGCATGCTGCTGCTTCTTCTTTTCTAATGCTCAAAACATACTGGGCATTAATTAAGCTTGCCACCTTGCTCTATGGAGCAATTGGCATATACAATCAACTGAAAACATGGGTGGAAATATGGACCTGGCATGTTCGTTCAATGTGGCATACAATTCCTGAGATGGCTGTCAATTTTACAGGGCTGGGGATTTTTAAGGTTTCCAGTCTCACCTTTCAGCCTGTAATGCAGTTTTTGAATGAACACCTAGTCGCATTACTAATCTCCCTGAATGTATTGCTCATCATTTCGCTCAGTATTTATTATATTTTGAGGATGTCCTCCCCAAAATTGGAGAATACTGAGTGGCAGGGAATGTGGAGAGGTCTGGGAGAGACCTTAGACAGATGGAAATCTTCAGTCTCATGGAACTTTACTCCAGAACACCTGAAAGACCCTAAGAGTCTAAACAGCTATTTAAGGCAGGAATGTTGCGGCTTGGGCAGTTCTGAGGAGGCACATATGATTTGGGGCCTGGCTAATGCTTATCGGGCCTTATTCAATACTATCCTGGAGAGAGAGAGAGAGCTTGTGAAATTGAAAGGGAGAGTCTCAGGGAAACAGTTCAAAATGAGCGAGAGAGTCTCCTGCTCCAGAGGAAAAACCTCCGATCTGAGAGAGATGCCCTCCGATCTGAGAGAGATGCCCTCCGAATTGAAAGAGACTCCCTGCAATCCAAACTCGACAATCTTCAATCTCAACAACACACCCTCCAATCTGAGCTGGATACTGTCATAATCGAACGAAACAAGCTCCAAGCTGAGCTCGAGGATGAGAGCATTGGAACTGATCAACCTGATCAACCACAAGAGGCACCACAATCGATGTCAGTTGCCCCTGTAAGAGGACGGAAAACGAAACAAATCTCGACTCAGTTAGAAGAGAAGAAAGAGGAGGAAAGAGGTCCAGAGGAGTGGCTCCGAGGTCCAAGAGAAGCACCTCTGAGTCCAGGGGAGGGGCCCTCAGTAAGACCATGGTCACCAACGCCTACGAGGGCAAGAAGTCCTGGAAGAGCAAGAGGTGAGCAAGATATCGTTACCTTTGTTGATCGATCTCTGAAAATGAATGAAATTCGAAGTCTGAGAAAAGACTTCTCACGTCACCCAAATGAGCCTATTGCTACTTGGTTACTTCATTGCTGAGACAATGGGGCCAACAGTGTGTGGCTAGATAGTAGAGAAGCTCGCCAACTGGGTGGCATTGCTAGGGACTCAGCCATTGACAGAGGTATTAGTACATGCCAGAACCAGGCCTTCACCCTCTGGAAGAGGATGTTGTTAGCTGTAAAAGAAAGATACCCCTTCAAAGACGATCTGATGCCCGAGAAGAAGAAATGGGCTGATATGGAAGAAGGCATCCGTTATTTGAGAGAATGTGCTGTGGTGGAAACACTACATAGCCCCGATTTCATTCCTGATGAGCCAGACCAAGAGCATGATCCTGAGAGAGCCAGGTGTACACCAAATATGTGGCGTACATTCACAAAGACTGCACCAGCAAGGTACGCCAGTACATTTGCAGCTATGTATGGCAGAGGGGAAAGAAGACCCCTTATAAACGAGTTGGTTAATAAACTTCAAGACTTTGAGTTATATTTGAGCCCTCTACGAGCTTGTGTTTCAGCCATTGAAAAAGTAGCTGAAAAGCTGGACAGAATGGAGAACAAACAAGAAGATATAATAGACAAACTATCAATCATGCCTGATGCTGATGAATCCATGGTGGTAACAGATACATCCAATGAGGAACAGAATTCCCAAAACAGCCTACTTGAGGGGCTGATCAACTTGATTTCCTCCCAGCCAGTGTCATCCAACGTCTAAGCAATCAAAAGAAGACGTCCTCCTGCTTGAACAAGTGATAACAGTAAGACCACGTCACGTTTTGCCTTGTGGCATTACCTATGTGGCCACGGAGAAGATATGAAGAAGTGGCATAAGCAACCTACTCCTGCCCTTCAAGCACGGGTAAAAGAATTACAAGGCAAATCAACCACCACGGTGAACTTCTCCAAAAAGGTGACTGCTCCAGTTGCTGCAGACAACGGAGGTAACAAATAGAGGGGCCCTGCCCCCAGCCAGGGGGGGGAAGGGGATAATAGAGTTTATTGGACTGTGTGGATTGGATGGCCTGGCACATCAGAATCACGGAAATATAAGGCCCTGGTGGATACTGGTGCACAGTGCACTCTGATGCCCTCGAGTCACCAAGAGACAAAATCAGTTTATATTCATGGGGTGACTGGGGATTCCCAAGAACTGACTATGTTGGAGGCCGAAATCAGCCTCACTGGTAAAGACTGGCAAAGGCACCCTATTGTGACTGGCCCAGGGGCTCCATGTATACTTGGTATCGATTACCTCAGAAGGGGATGTTTTAAGGATCCCAAAGTGTATCGATGGGCCTTTGGAATAGCTGCTGTAGACACAGAAGGTGTTAAGCAGTTGTCTGTTCTGCCTGGCCTATCAGAAGATCCGTCTGTTGTGGGGTTGCTACGAGTGGAAGAGCAACAGGTACCAATAGCTACAAAAACGGTGCACAGACGGCAGTACCGCACCAACAGGGATTCCTTGTTCCCCAATCAGAAGTTAATTTGTCAATTAGAGAATCAGGGAGTGATCAGCAAAACTCACTCGCCTTTTAACAGCCCCATATGGCCAGTGTGTAAAGCCAGTGGAGAATGGAGACTGACAGTGGACTACCGTGGCCTGAATGAAGTCACACCCCCATTGAATGCTGCTGTGCCGGGTATGTTAGAACTCCAGTATGAACTGGAGTCAAAAGCAGCCAAATGGTATGCCACCATTGACATTGCTAACGCCTTTCAGTATTCCTGGAACCGTTTGCCCCAGGGGTGGAAACATAGTCCAACTATTTGTCATGGGTTGATCCAAGCTGCACTGGAACAGGGAGGTGCTCCTGAGCACTTACAGTACATTGATGACATCATTGTGTGGGGCAACACAGCAAGTGAAGTTTTTGAGAAAGGAGAGCAAATAATCCAGATCCTTCTCCGTGCTGGTTTCGCTGTTAAGCGAAGCAAAGTGAAAGGACCTGCCCAGGAGATTCAGTTCCTAGGCATAAAGTGGCAAGATGGCCGTCGTCACATCCCAACAGATGTAGTCGACAAAATCACTGCCATGTCTCCCCCCACTAATAAGAAAGAGACACAATCGTTTCTGGGCGTAGTGGGTTTCTGGAGAATGCATGTTCCAAACTACAGCCTCATTGTAAGCCCACTTTATCAGGTGACACGGAAGAAGAATGATTTTGTGTGGGGTCCTGAGCAGCAGCAGGCTTTTGAGCAGATTAAACAAGAGATAGC